TAACCCTGATTAAAGAAATAATGAACTCAATTTTTTGAAATTTAATTGGAAAACACTTAATGTGGGGAACTCTTAGTTATCACTCATGACTGCGAGAGAAACACAACAAACAAACCTTCTGCCTCAAATCATAATATTTCATCCTTTATTGCCTCAAGTTTCTGTCTAAATGCTAATCGCATATAAGTAGAGTTTAAACTCAAATGAATAAGTTCATGAATTTTAACAGGAGTGGACTAGGACTCATCTGAACAAGCATCAGATGAGGAGCTTCTGAAGGATTGTAGCCAGTAAATAAACTTCTCTGCTGATTAGTTATTGACCACGCAATATTTCATGGACACTGGAGCCAGTTCTCCTAGATTGGCAGACAGGTCGCCCTTTTTGACTGAATCCCACACAAGTACATGGAAAAGCCATACAAACTCCAAATACTCCTGTTTGGGATTTGAATTCAGAAACTTCTTGCTTCTTGATTAGAGATGGTAAATATTACAGTAATTGGAAAAAAAAATATATATATATATATATTTTCAGCCATTTACAATGTAGGACAAGCACAAATGAAAGCCAAATATCAAGTACATGACACTAATATTCTGTCAGTGCTTCTCTTTTAACTTACTTAACAAAGATCTATAGCTTTAAACACTTCTGTGACTTTATACAAATCTGAAATTATTGCAAACACAATTTGGTTTCGAGCTCAGCCAGGCTGCCACAGGTTTGAAAATTATCAAAGGGAAAGTAGATTGTTGTAGGAACTCTCATTATCTAAGTTTCTTCAGTTAATGCTGTTGTGCTGCTCTGTGGGTTTTGCAGCGTTGTTATAGCCAGACGTGTTGTGTTGTTGCGCTACAGTTTTATGGAGTTGCTGCTTAAGGTTTTCAATATTGATTTTCATTTTAATAAGCACCGTTTTTCAAAAATTCAGCTCCAGAGGTTGCTGGGTGGTCTTTAGAACAAAGCAGTCTTATTTATCGGCTTTTCGAAGTTGCTTGCTCTGATGCTAATACCCTAACAGGTGGCTCTAGATGAGATTGCACTTCACAACAGACCTAAAGATTATATGCAACATCTTGCTGCAAACACTGAAGGACCTGAGCTTCCTCAACAAGGAATGTCTGTAATATCTCTTAATTTAAAAAGGCTGAGCAGGAATACTGTAAAGTGCTGGAGATAATCCAACATATTTATTTTTTGTGAGCAAAACATATTTTATTTTGGGAGTAAAATGTGTTATGTTTTATAATCAGCTCAATATGTTTTACTCTTCCCCTCTATTATTTTTTTAGACATATGTATGTATTTAACACATCAGAAAACAGTATATTTTAAGATACAAACTAAGTGTCTGGAGTTGTCAAATTATTTTATATCTCAAATTGTTACTGAAAGTAGAAGTCTCCCTGAAATCTTATGTCAGAGCTAAAATGCTTATATTCATGATTACAGTTTTGTATTTATTCCAGCTTTTCCTGAAGAAAATGTGGATCTAACATTTGATTAAGGAAGCAAAGGAAAAGAAAATATGATAACTCATTTTGTAAGTTTGCAAAATTTGCATGACAGTTTCATTACAATGTGAAGAGGCAGAATATTAGCTAAAAAACCCAGAAATAAACATAACACCAAAGTTAAAACTGATTTGTATGTCATAACTAAAATACTTATTTAGTCTCTGTCTTCTCATTTGGCATCCAGATCAAATCAGATTAGTGACTCTGATCTGATCTGATCCAAAACAATAAGTTTTCCTAACAAATGTAGTAACAAAATATATGACGCAATTTGCTAGAGTGACTCTGACAAAGCATGCCAAAGACAAAGAGCTGCAGTGAGGCTGAAATGTTCCCCAATACTTTCTTAGTGAGAAGGTGAGAGGTGTTGGTGTAATCATTGGAAAATGGAAGAAATATAATATTGACGGTTCCCCTCAATTTGAAGCTCTATTCAAGAATTTGTCTCAAGCAGTGAGAACTTAGAGAAAGGTGGGGAATTAGGCATGTTGCTGATCTGAAGACAGTGCAGACCAAAGTCATGACATGACAATTTTAGGACACATACAGACCAATGGATGGTACTCTGAACTAAAACTAACTAAAACTTTATATTCTCATGCAGAAGACAAAAGATGGGTGATGAATTTTGCATCACTGGCCTCTCTGAATACCAACAGTACCAATTAATGAAATCCGGCATTGTTTGTACATTGAAGTCAGTGTCTTTGACAACCAGGCTTTTCTCCGTCTCCCTCAATAGAACTTGACATATTGATCTTTTTGATTGTGTTTCCACTTCTGTCTGGGAGAGCTTTGAACACAACTGATTAAGTTTCTGTTCAGCAAGGCAGAATGACGTCCACAGAATCCATCAGTCTAGTTATGATTTTATGGTAAAAGGCCTGCAGATGCTCTGCAAAAAAATACATAACTTCTGTATCTGTGTTGCAGTTCAAAGAGGGTGAAAAAAAAAAACCTCACATCTTGAATTTGTTTACATTTTATCATCTTGCAGCTGCCAACTTCAGTCTTCAACAGACCCACACAAAGTAGTGCATAAGTGTTTCACAGAAATAAAATGAGACATTGCTTTTTGATTTATTTACAAAAAGAATTCTAACTACTGATAATTGCAACAACACATCAGGGTAGGGTAAAACTAGCTTGCCTCATGACGGACTACACCCAGCTCACGTTCTCTAGTAGTGGGTGAACAATCCAACGCTTGGTAAATTCTGCTTCACAATGACAGGAAGAGCCGACATTAAAGGAGCTTTGAGATCCCCAAAGCTCAGGGTATTGTTTTGCAACTTAAGGACGCTTTAAACAAAGTTTTGATCCCACATCTTAATCCTAGACTCCTCTGCTGTGTTTTTTGGTCTTCATAATACAGCTTTTTTATTTATTTATTTATTTTTTTTTTTTTACACTCATGTTCTTTGACAAATTACTGAGTCCTTTGTAAAACTGGTGTAGTTTCTTTTTACAAGAGGCCCATTTCTCAGATTAATCGTACCTTTTGAAAATAAAAGCCTTTAAGCAGGTTCTAGACTTGCTTTTTAATCCCATATTTCTGTATTGAAATAGTTTTTTATTTGTGTGCTGTAATATAATTTTAAATGTTATGTTTTCATTAGATGAGAACAGAAAATGATCAGCGTCAACAAAGCAAAGGCTTTAAAACATTATGTAATTAATCTATATAATGAGAGATTTATCTGCTGGTTCTGGTCATGTGACATCACTGGACGCCACTTAGTGTTGCAGATTGGTTATACTGTGACTGACTAAGCTTTTCAGGTTTTATTCATTCTATGCCATGTAGTTGTTTGAGGCCCACTTGTCAACATCCTCCTACCTGGTGGTGTCAGCAGAGGTGATGGCGATGAGTGGCGGTGCTCGTAATGGCAGTGTTGTGGGCCGAGGTGGGACGGTGACTGTGTCCGGCTCGGGCTTTCGGTCGCAGTAGTACTGTTCAGCCTGTCTAAAGGCCAGGGGGGGTAGCTGAACTGTCCGGCAGGAGAGCCTCCGTACCATAAAGGGCTCCATGCAGGTGACGGGCCCTGGTTCTGGGGAGTCAGATGACTCATCAGACGCCTGTGGGAAAAGACATGGCTGTTAAAATCTGACATTGAGGAAGTGTCAATGTAATTACAAGTGCAGGCTTGTAATTACATTTAAAAAAAAGTCTAGATCTATAAAGGCTGGAAAAAACCCTGGATTGAATGTTATAAAGCACCAGTTACTTTTATATTATGTTGTCTCTTGTTCACACAATATCACCAATATCTAATCGAAAGCCTCACCAACTCACATTATGTTGAATATTAGATTAAATCACAAAGGCATCAGTCAGGTTTCTAAGGGCTTTAGCAACCACACATTTATTCAGGTCAGTGGCAACCTTCATTGATGTAAAACATATTCTCTGAAGCCCTTTCAATAGCACTCTTTTTATTTGAAAAATCTGGACTAAGCATGTGCTGTGACAAAGTGTGCTTAATACCACTTGAACTTTTAACAGTTTTTTCAAGGAACTGCCACATCATTCAATATACTATATGAGGATTTTCTTCTGATAGAAAAACCCAAAGTGGTGTACAATTGTAAAGATTTTTTATTGTTAAGAAATGTGGTGTGTGTGGGTGTGTGCATGTTTTGTTTCACTGCAGTTACAGCTGAAGGTCTTTAAGAATATGTCTCTGCTGACATTTTAAGTGTACAAGTTGAAATTTCTTTTCAGTATAGTTCATCTTCAGTCAAACTGGAGTAGGAGCATTTTTGAAGTCAATTTTGAAGTCTTACAGAAAACTCAGTCTTATGCATTTCCATCTTGGCCAATCTAACAGGCAAATGTTTTTAATCTAAACCATCCCATTATAGCTATAAGTATATTTAGGATAATTATCCTCCTTTAAGGTGAACACATATCCTTGCTGATGTGCCTTATTGCATATTACTGCCATCCCCATGTATAATTGGGGAGATAATATGCAGTAATATGCAGTACCAGGTTTCCACCACACAGCATTTTGCATGTAGGCCAAAATGGTTCATTTTAGTCCTGATTGGCTAGATAACTTCATTCAGTGCATTTCCTGTTTCCCATAGATGACTTGTGCAAAAACTACAACAAATTCTTTTGACTTTTTTCAGTAATTCAATCAGTTTGTCAGTTTTCTACATGATTTGTGGAGTGCACAGCTAACATTTGTCACTTGACTCAGTTTGAAGTTGTTCCACACTCTTGTTTTTTTTTTTTTTGTTGTCATTGTTGTTGCTGGATTGAACAGTGCTTTGAGAAATGTTAAAAGCTGAAAGCATACATTTATTACCAAACCCCACTTCAAACTTATTCACAACGTTATTCTTTTAATAGTAAGATATTTAGAAAATTATGTATAATTTCCCTTCCATCTCTCAATTTTAAACCACTTTGCATTGATCTCTCACAAAAGAAAGTCAGCAAAATCCCATACTACTGGAGTTTGTTGATGTAAAGTAAAAAAAAAAAATTCAAAGGCTATCAACAATTTTACATGGTATTACACAAACAAAGTATATAGAGTGAACTAAAGACAAAATTGCAGGAGTAATTCTCAGAATGCTTGCAAGAGCCTTGTTGAATTTTCAATATGATTAAGATTGTGCCCTTACTCAAAATAGTACATGAAGCCACTAGAGCAAGGCTGCCTATTTTGAATTTAATTAAAAAAAGTTTTTCTTTGCTGCATCAATAACCTTGCAGATACGGTTCCCAGCAAATGCAAATACAGTAGCCGTGCATTCAGGAATACACACCCGATAGTGTGTTTTATCAAATAAACAGCTACTAAGAGAAATTACACATCATGAATGAGAACACTGTACCCCATTTTTACTTGACAAGAGGTTCAAACACAAAGTGATTCACTGGAGAAGAAGTAGAAGCTTGAAGTGAAAATGACACTGTACAGACAAGAGAGGAGGAGAGTGGGGAGAAAAAAAATGGATAAGAGCTCCAGCTGAGGGCAGAGACAGCCGCCTGAAAAAATGAAAACTTTAAACGTCTGAGATGAGACGAGAGTGAGAAGACAGAAACTCATTTTACAGTGGCAAGTTAACCTGGAGGAAAGACATCGGGTGGTCAATAAACCATTAAGTGGTTATCAGAAAAGTTCATTCTGGTGCAGTAATGGCTGCAGCAGAGCCTTCCCTCTCAAAACACTCAGCTGAAGCAAGGTTAGCCTTGCTTACAATTTAATGCAACTCTTTTGGATGCTACTTTTGTAAATGAATTAATAAATATATTATATTCAGAACTAAAATCATTGAAGACAAGTTTCCTTTCCTAATGCTTTCAGGGGTTTGTAAAATTACTAAGACCCTCCGAATATTTTTCACATTTTCCCCCCTTAAGACCACAAGCTTCTTTCAAAATGGATTTTAAAGTGGAAGGAAATGATAGATGGTTTACATAATCATTCCCAATTAAAAGCTGGAAAGTCTGGCATGCATTTGTATTCAGCCTGTTTACTTTGATATCCTAAAACCAAAGTTTTATAGCAACTAATTGCCTTGAAAAGTTGTCTAATTAGTCAATCGAGCCATCCTGTGTGTATTCTAGCTTCAGTGTAAATCTAACTGGTCTGTGAAAAACCTTGGAGGTTTGTTGGAGAACACTGACAAACAAACAGCATCATAGGAAAAACCAAGCAACACGGCAGACAAGAAAGGGATAAAGTTATGTAGAAAATTTAATCGGGGTTATAAAATGAGAAAACCTCTTGGAGTAGTTTAGATCTGTGGTGTACAAAGTCACTCCTCAAGGGCTAGTAAACTGCAACTGTTTGTCCCTACAGATCAACATACCTGAATTAAATGACTGAATTATTATCCTCATTCACTCGAATTCAACAGACTCTTACTGACAGTTTCAGGTGTTTTTTTAGGCATAGGCAAATCTGACAGTTGCAGGACAGCCGCTGTTTCCTGGCTTCAACACACCTGAATCAAATGATTGGCTTGTTAACAAGCTTCCGCAAACTTGATCCCATTCAGCTGAAGTTAATTCCACCCATCTTCAGTGAACGTTGAAGGGAATGATGATCTAAGTCAACACCAAACAGAAGTTCAATGCCATGTCAATTTTGTGGTGTATTGTCCTTGGGGGAAACCACAAAGGCAATAGGTTTTCTTGGCAATGAATGGCTCCGACCGTATCTTTCAGGATTTAGGACAAACACCAATACACCAGCACACACCAAGGTGTACTAGTGAGGCAGCATGACAAACTGAAACAGATCAGGTGCTATTATTAATCTTCCTGGAAACTACACAGAGCCATTGTTCTGCATGAATGAAAAAGGATTTCTTGTTAAGAGTTGGGTCAACCGTTAACATTCATATTCGACTCAGAGCGTTTTTTAAATGGCCGCATCATCATGGACGTCTTCAGAGAGTCGATGTTGTTTCTCTTATTCCTGCCCATTCTGACACAAAGTGCAAGTAATACAGTAAAAACAGTCAGTAGCACAGTTATCTCATTGCTCTACTGAAAGGGAGTCCAACAGCAACAAAAATATCTGCAAACGTGCTGGAAAACAGAAGGAATATTCTCAAATGAACACCTTTTGGCTTTACTTTAAAAGTTTGTTTGGTTGATTTTGTTTGTTTTTCTTGCTTCGTAGCTCATCCAACTAATCTCCAGGCTACAATCATGATAAGATGTCAGATTCATGGCATCATATATATTTATCCCATCTATGAAGCAGATTTGCTCATAGAAGACATTTTAAGCCCGAGGCTTGTAGCTGTGAGTGTTTTTTGAGCCGTATGGATTAGGACCACAGGATCAGGAGATCACAGCTAACCCCGTAGGCAGCTAAGCGTTAAGGGGGGGTTATCCCCTGTGAGGTGCAAGTATGACTGCTGGAGTTTAAACAGAAGGTGCTTTATGGCCACGCCATAGTACTTACTATTACTGCAGCAGTAGAGTGATGCTCCTCAGGCTCAGAGGAGACCTTTTGCCAAGAACTACACTGGATTTCATCCTCATTGCTTGGGAGTCAGCTTCCTGGATCACCCATTTGAAAGATATATTCCTTATTATTCACTGACAGTAATTAAATTTGAATGCACCTTTCACATCTATAAAAAAAATCCAAAGTGCTTCAAAAAGAGAGAGCATAAAAAATTTGAAATGGAAAAGGCAAAACAAAAACCAAAATGGAAAAATGATTGCAGATTTTATTGAACTGACTGATCACCACATTTTAGCTTTTTTGAATCCATAAACCCGGTTGAAAATGTATGATGTACCTTTATGACAGTTTCTGCTTGTTTTTGCCTTGATTTTGTTCCTTTGAATTTCTCTCGGTCCTGAGAAGAAATTACTAATAAAATCAAATTGACTCAAAAATATCTGCACTACTTCAACACAATCGGAATTACCTTGAACTGCAGAGAACTGAAACAAACTTAGGTGAACTGAATAAAACACAAATCAAATGAACTGAATTGGACTGAACTGAAATTATTTGGGTATTCTACTTCAAGAGATTCAATAGATTCTTGTAAAATAGCAAGCCATGTATACAATTTGTTCCGATATAATGAAATAAGTAATTGGCAACACCAAAGAACTAACAAATATGAATGAAAACTGATTTTAGTTATTTACTAGAGCAGGATTAGACATCAGTTATATGTACAGAGGTGGAAAATGAAAGAATGAAATTAAAATCTAATCTGGTCTTATTAAGAAAAATTGAATGTCAGACAGCAAAGATAATGCTGAGTGTTTGAAGCTTAAATGTAAGATACAAGCAAAGCATACAAAACGAGGAGCAGAAACTCTGAAATTAATTAGGGTTTTAGCAAACTAAAAAGATTTTACATTTTTGTACTGATAACATTAATAGAAACGGCATTCCCAAGACTTACAGTAGCAGCATTTTCTGCTGCCCAACACAATACCAACGATGATAAAACTAAATGAGCCAGACTGTATTATTTTGGTTTTATTTCACTGAAATAAAGACGGGAGTTATAAAGCAATTCTGATTATTAAGATGTCGGAGCTAAAGATTTCTGAGCTAGGTTAAACAGCCCATCTT